GAACAGGGGTTTATATCAAGGAATAATCTATATATGTTTAACGAGGATTCACATTAAGTGCGTTAAATACATATGAAAAGTACAGATTTGCTCGATAAATAGTATGAGATAAGAACAAGGTGGCGCTAAAGGATATTCATAGACTAAATATAAATCAAAGCTATTTTATTTCTTAGAATTAATCTTATTATTTAGTAACCAGCATTATCAATCGAGACGACTATTATTATTATTGTAGTTACATAATTTTAATAAATTATATTTAACTTGCAATATTAACATTATGCAATTTGTTAAAATTTTCCATGAAGATGATGATTTAATGTAATGAGAAAATTAAATTAAAAGTAGATACTTTTGTGTTGTTGAATTAAACACTTTAGTTACATAAAATTTGAAACAATCATTAATGAATTATAAAGTCTTAAAAGACTGGAAAAAATTTAGAATCTAATTTTGAATTCATTTTTGATAGTGTATATAATTCAAAAACCATTTTATTAAATTCTCTAAAATATTTAAATTCATCATGAAAATGTAAAATTTATTCTAAATAAATCCATTGGTTAAATTATCCATTACCCTTTAATACAATAATAAGATGAATTAGATCATTCTGGAATAATTAGTTAATTGCCCTCTCTTTATAGCAAAAGAGATTTAGCGGTATTATTGCTAATTCAAAATTTATCTAACTTTATTAAGCCTTAACTTGTGATATTATTGTACTTTAGTAAAAAAAATTAGATCAAATCATTAAAAAGTATTAATTTTATATAAGAAGATGTAAATTAAAGAATTATAAGAGAATATTTCATTACTTTCTCCTCTGTAAGAGAAAATTGTAAGCACAAATAAATGAGAAGTTGTCAAACTATGCACAAAATTGTTATATAGCAATAAATGATTCTATTGAGAATCAAGAATATATATTGCATGATCTCATATTGAAGTTTAGCTGTTAGTTCTCCCTTTTCAACTTAAATAATAATCAAATAATTAGAAATAAGAAATTTTAAAGGAGCAGAGCCAATTATGATATTAGAGAAAAAAGCAAAGAGCTTATCACATATTGAAAACAAATTAGGAAAATCAATTGATAATAATCAATTTTGTTTTTAACATATTTTGTTTTTAACATATTTAGTTTTCTAAAATCAAACTGCCTTAAAATAATGATAACAAATCATCTCCTTTAGAATCTACAAATTCTCCTTCCAGGATTAGGGCTCCTTAAGCTTAAAATTGTGATTTAAGAAACCGTTAGAATTGTAATAATACAACACTTTCTGAAAAATAATTAATTGAAATAATAGGTGAAAATTGGAGTTCTCTGACATAATTAGTATGACCATCAAATTTGGCTATTTATTATCCTGTTTAAACATCCCATAAACAGATAGAATTATCTCCACTGCCAGAAGCTAATGCAGTACCATCGGGAGAGTAACAAATTGAAATAACACAACTTTGAATGACCATCTAATTTGGCTGTTTCTTATTCTGCCTTAACATCCAATAAATGGATAGAGTTATCATTTCCACAAGATGCGAATGTAGTACCATCATGAGAAAAACAGATTGACATGACATAATCCTCATGGCCTACTAATTTCACTTTTTATTATCTTTTTTTAATATCCCAAAATCATCCATATTTGATTAATCTCTCATCAATAGCTGTTAGACAAAATAGAAATTTCAAAAACTTAATATTTTTCTATTCCTAACCTATCTTTTCATCAAGTGCTTTCTAAAATTTATTCAAATTCCTCCATTGAGTAATCCTTTTTATTGAAGTCAAGTTGTGTTATAATCATAAATAACCTCATCTTAGATATGCTTAATTGCTCTTACTAGATAGGTATTGTAGGCATCTGGTATTTTTTCCAACCTAATCCTTTCCAATATCTAATCAAAGTCAATGTTGCTCATCTAAGACAATATTTCATACAAATCTTCCTTTCTGACATAAGCTTGTTCGATTTCTTGTTCTTCCTCTTTTAGTTCCTTCACTTATTTATCTAATTTCTTATGTTTTTGAATCTCATTCACTTCATGAACGATAATGTCTTCCAACTTAATTTTTAACTTGTTTGGTTCAGTTTTAGGGCTTATTCAAGAAGGTGTTGTTGAATACTTTCGTTTTTTGCAAAGGACTACTGATATATATTGTAATTTATATTTTACTTCTAGCTATTGATCCAATTCTTTTAGACAGGTGTTAACTAGCTCTTAAGATTCTGAGTGTCTTAGCATATTTGTAAAAAAAAGAATTTTTAAAATAATGATATGCAAAAAATGATTCTCTATTATAAAAGTATTTACATTATGAAATGTGATTATTTAATTTAGAAGCAAAGTGGAAAAATATCAAAACTTAGGGATGAGCTGCATATGTGAATTAATATAGATAGATTAGTGAAATTTGATGGTTTTAATTCATGCGCCACCTAACATAAAAAAAGAGGTGTAAAGCTTCTTATGTCTAAATAATAGGACCCCATCGTTCCAACCAGCACTAATCCAATTCGTGGTTTATGGCAGAGGTGCCATAAACTGCTCCTGTCTAGCTGGAAGTGTTTAGGGTAGATTTCATCATCCTCTATCAAGTCCTATAAGTATTACCCTCATATCTAAAACCTTCCTTTCCAAAAAACAAACTATAGTTTTGTTTTTTACTATCATAAGTCCAATTGTTATCATAAGAGATTTTGAAGGAATAAGGGCTGTACATAAGCGAGAGAGACTTTAACAAAGTTAGGATAATCAATTTCTGTAAAAATATTACTGTTTAATGAATGCATTTTGCTTTTATAATAATCAATTTATTGTATTCGTCATTGAATTTAGTTTGTTAAAATGAAGCTACCTCTTTATTAAAATAACAGACTCAAATCAATGGATGATTGATTAGTAAATTCACCTTTCAAGATTAGAGCACCTTTTGATTAAAATATTAGCTATTATGATATTAAAAGGATAGTAACAATAGAAGTAACTAAGTATTAGTAAAATATAAATACCACTTTCTGTAAGAACATTATTGTTAAGTAATGAAGGTGAAAATTTAGCTAAAAGATCTTTGTAACTATTATCTGATAGTAAGATTTGTTGTTCAGATATTACATCCCATAAACGGATAGAGTTATCATTACTGCCAGATGCTAATGTAGTGCCATCAGGAGAGTAACAAATTGAATTAACATAATTTGAATGACCATCTAATTTGGCTTTTTATTATCCTGTCTTAACATCCCATAAACGGACAGATCTATCTCCACTACCAGAAGCTAATGTAGTACCATCAGGAGAAAAATTGGCTGAAGTAATATTACCTGAATGACCATCTAATTTGGCTTTTTATTATCCTGTCTTAACATCCCATAAACGTATAGAATTATCTGAACTACCAGATGCTAATGTAGTACCATCAGGAGAGTAAGAAATTGAATTAACATAATTTGAATGACCATCTAATTTGGCTTTTTATTATCCTGTCTTAAAATCCCATATACGGATAGAATTATCTGAACTACCAGATGCTAATGTAGTACCATCAGGAGAGAAA